CTCCCCATTTTCATAATCCAAAACATCATTTCCAAACCGTTAATACAGCCCGCCCTTTGGTAGCCCCGCCGCGACATGAAAGGAGGATTGGCTAGTGTCCCTGACCCATGGTAACCCCGCGGCGTCATTATGGGGCCCAGCTAGCTCAACCACGCTAGGGCGACTCCCTAGTCCCCTCAAGGCTATATTAACCTCCGGCCCGTTGGTAATCCCGCAGCGACCGGGTTTCACATAAAACCATTTCATCAAAAACACTTCCCTGAAATTCCCCATATTTATTTCAAGAACAATTTCTCCCATTTCATGCAAACCCAATGGTATGTACATGTATATATATATCCCATACTTTCAATATTATGGCATTTAGAATTTTACACCACATAATTAAGCATACATTATATTCAACATCTCCAAATGAATTATCAAAACATTAAACACAACAAGACAACCTCTAAGCATGCTTTTCTACTCATATTCATAATCATGAATTTTCCTAAACATCATTTATATAATCATTGAAACAATTAACTTCCAAATTAAACATATTTGTCACAACAAGAGAGATATAATTCACAATGGAGTAAGAAAAACATGGATTAAGAGCCTCTACCTCTAAATTGAACAAAACCCTTGAAATTGGGTCTCTAAACTCGAATGCACAAATGAGCACCAAAATTGAAATTGTTAGAATGGATGCGTAGAGCTCGTCGTGGGCTTCGTTTAGCCTCAAACGGCACCTAAATTCGCCAAGAAATGAGGGAGAAATCAAGCTTAATTGTGTAGAAGAAAAAAAAAGAAAAAAGATAAGCAAGCGGGCAGAGAGCTGCGAGACAGAAGACAGAGAACAAAAATAAAAAATAAAAAATAAAAAATAAAAAATAAGGAAAAAAAGTGTGGTCTTATGACCACTTAAACTTGTGGGTCCCAAACATTTTTTTTTTCTTTTCTTTTATCTTTTTCTTTTGCCTTTTAAATTGCAGACATTACAAGACTTGTCAAGCATCTGTTTGGAACACACGTAAAATTCTAGTTTAATCATTTTTGGTGAATATTCCACTACAATGTGCCCAACTTGCTTAGATGGATTTCAGTATCTTTTCAGGTTTTGTTTGGTTCAATGCTAAAAGCTCACCTTGATGAGTGTGAGGATGTGGGTTCGAGTTGGAGGGCTAATGCTCTGCCAAAATAATGCCAAATTTTATGTTTCTCCTGTCCTCCCTTCCTAGTACACCATGTAAGCAAAACCAGTACCGGACAGTGACTTTTTTTTTTCAACTACAAATTGCCAAAGCTGTTGTGACAAGTGAGAGAGGCACTCTCCACAGATTTTTTTTTTTTTTAAAAAAAAAAAAAAAAACTATTAAATTACTTTTAGATATTATTATTTCTGAAATTCCTGACTTATGACATCTTTTGATGATTTTGCATAGGACATATGGATGTGAGTGGATTCTGATGTTGAAAAATTGATCAAGAATCGGAAAGCGATGGACTTTTGTGCAGCTCGAGCCAAAGCAATGAACTTACAGATTTGAGTGGGATCTGATTTTGGAAAATGGTGGCCTCCAGTTGTTGGAGTTAACATTTAGCTCTATGATGGGGTATGCAATTTTTCTAGCAGCTTTCTAAAACACGTGCAGACTATACTAGAATTATTTTTTGGTGAATATATACTGTTACTATATGTCAAAGCCATTGGCACATGGTGACAAGAGTCATATGTAATCCCTGCCCTCTCCACCAAAAAAAGGGCAATATAATAATTGTCTCAGCATTTTTTTTCCTGGGTAAATGTCTCAGTAATTTTAGGTACCATTTTGCCAATTTTCAACTGATGCCATTTACTGCAAATGAATTTATCATGGAATAACAAGACTTCCATTTAATCCTAAAATAAATCTCATACCATCAATGGTGAAATGGCTTCCAATATATATATATATATATATATATATATATATTGTGGCTTTATTGATGATGATTTTGAAAAAAAATATGCTGAAGACATTGGACCTTCCAATTCTTGTGGTCACAGAAAATATGCCCTTAGTAATCTAGAGCACAGCATACCGTGTCATCGATGAGGTTATGATAGGGAAATACTCTGCAATCTGCAAACATGAACAAGCCATCAAAATCTGGAGGCATAGAAAAATTACTTCATTTCTGGTCCCTTCATCATTCTTTTCATTGAGTCTTGATGCTAGAATTTTCTCCTTTTGACATATAAACTCCAAAAGCATAAAATATCACTTCGTATTATTAAGAAATTTCAATTGAATTTGTACGTACTTGTATAATACTAATCAGTTGAATTTGTTTCAGAACAATTTAGGAGTAAACTAACTCAAACCAATAAATCCAGTACTGGAGATGAGGATGTCATTTACCTAGTCTTCTCCTTCTGTCCCACCTTCAACTCCCTGCCAACAAAAAGAAGAAAAAGAAAAAGAAAATAATTCAACTCCCTTTTGCATGTAGATTAGTGGACGTCTATGACTGATTGTTCACGTCATAACATAAAATGGATTTGAAAAGTGTTATGTTTCTCAACCAGAGAAGTTGGATTGTTGTGGTGGTTATGCGAATGTGCTTAATTTACATATAGGTTCTTGTTCAATTATAAAAATTGTTTTGAACTTTTTGACAGGATTGCTATTCTCTGATTGCCAATTTGTTCTGTTTAACCATAGTGTCAAAGAGATTAACCTTTTACATAATGCTTAGATCATGAAATTGGCCACCAAATTTACTGACTACCCATGACATTGACTGCTAATAATTACTATTTTTTGGCAGAAAGCTTCGAGTCATTAGTCCTTAGTGTTTGATGCCATCTACACACCAAAATGGACCAGACTCATGCAAGAAGCACAATAGTCAGGAGCCAATGTGTCATTGGGCTGAAGTAGTTCATTTATCAAGCAATTTTACATTGTAAAAGGTTCACTGGCCGGCTTTCCCGGTAAGATGAAGCCAACAAGCTGTTTAATCTGCAAGTTCTTAATTTTGGTACTTCACAGGTCTTTGTTCTTTTGCTTTCTCGTTATATATCATTGCTTCATTTTTACTACTGCAGCACCAAAAGCACTGATTGGGGAACTATGGCAAGAAACACATTAGGAGGAACTGTTTGGTTGATCTCCTTTTGCAATTCAGTTCAATTTATGATTATGCTATTTGTATGTTTTTCTGTTGTACAATGAATTTCCACATCATTTATGAATAAACCTAAAGCGCGGCAGCAGGAAAGAACCAACCACGATAGCCGATTTATGCATTTTTGCGATGCATTTTTTTAGTAAAGATTGTATTTCAGATGAAGGTTCATGTTTTACTCTTTAATACAAATTGTTCAGCAAACACCTCAGTGAATGCTATAGCTTTCCTTGCCCGGCCAGAAAGAGTTTTGAGTATATAAACATCATGCTACCTGCAGACACTGTGTGTGTGTGTGTGTGTGTGTGTGATTTAGTGGGATGAATGGTATAAGGTTTTAGACATTGGCCTAAGACTTGCATGCCAGTAGGTACCACTGTGTGAGAAACTATAATAGTTCCTTGTTGGACTCTATTCGTTGGAATGGCAACACAAATCCATCGGTTTTTATATCATTATTCAATTTCTTTTGGTGTTGTATTTTACCGAAACGTGTTTGACATCTATAAAGCAATTTTAGAAAACCTAGGTTAGATTTCCAAAGTTGAAATTAGATGAACCCCAAGATCTCCACTAGAACTTACCTTGTTTGTCTAATATAACGTGGTAAAAGATATCAACTCAAATCCTAATGGAAAAAAACAAATGAAGTATAGTAGAAATGAGGATTGCAATGTTGAGTGAAAAATTTGCAATTATTTAATGGTAAATATCTCTCCCTAAATGTCGTAGAAGATTATTTATTTATTTTCTTATATTACTTTTATTTTAAAAATAAAAATATGTATGTTAAAAACAAATTAATATGAGACATGTTATCCTATTAATAAAGTAAAGATGGTTTATATATATAAAAAAATAATATAACCTTGTAACCTTCAAGTTATGTAAGTCATGAAATGACATTTTACCACAACTTTCTTGGAAGGTTTCTCATGCTAATCAAATTTATGTTGAAAAATTACTTCTTTTTTTTTTTTTTTTTTTTTTAACTTCACTCTTTTTTCTTTCTTTTTTCTTTTTTTGAAAGTTCACTTCACCTTTTTATACTTTTCTCTTCTCACAATTAGTTTCCATAAAACCAAATTGATCTTGGAAACTTGAACACATTTTTAAAAAACTATCCAAATTTCCAGTGATTCGGTGAGGCCCAAGCCCAGAGAAAAATTCAAAATTAAAGTAATAGCCCAACATAGAGAGCTACCAAAAGAGGCCCAAGCCCAAAGGCAGTTACCAAAATTAAAGTTCGAAACTCCAACACCAGAAACCGAGGTTGCGCAGAAACAGAGAGATGGAGCAAATTAATGTTGGGTTCCATCACAAGGTCCACTTCAAAACCTACTCCTTGAGAATGATAATTCCTGAGGTGGTTCTTGGAAGTTGCCAGATTGGACTGGGTCAATGCTAGCTAGCTGTGTGGATGACTATTCTTTCATTTCACTATCCTGTATAGCTGTACTTGGTCCTTAACTAGAAAATTGAAGATTTTATATATATATATATATATATATTGGCATGCATTCACTGTTATTTGAGTGGATCGGAAATAATAATAATAATAATAATAATAAGATTTTGTTATGTAAATAAAACTTGGAAAAGTAGGACTGAACTGACAATAAGAAAATTTTGCAATTAGCATCTCCAATACACAAAAATTGTCATGATGAAATTAAGTTCTTGGTATATATTTTTTGGTAATTTTATTGGTATATAACTAGAAGATCAAAATAAAAGATCTGAATGTGGTTGAAGATCTCAATGCAAATTGCTCATAAAACAAACCTTAAGCACTACATTTGGTTCATATTGAGTCTCTTCAGCTCTGCAGTCAGGTCAGCTAATTTTGCATCTTGGTCAACTCATTTTTTGCTTCTCTGGTTTGCTTTATTTACATTAAGCAGGGTGATTATATCATTTGGGTTCATATTTGTCTTGTAGGACTCAAAAAAAATCAAGTTGTTTTAGCAAGCAAATTTGTGTGTTTTTTTGTTGGAAATGCGAAAATGCTATAGAAATACTTTGCAAATTGGAGCTGAATTATTTCGTATAGCATAGAAGTAGTATTTGATTTAGTTTGCCTCAATGAATGGCTGGTTGATAATTTAGAAGGAAAGAAAAAAAAAAATAAGCTCTAATTTGAGAAATTAGAAAGTTCTTGGTAGTTTAATATACAAGAGTGTCGGTGCATATTTCCTTGTCCTCGGCATATGCGTGTTTTTGTCATTAGTGATATAATATAATTGGTTGACGGACACAGAAGTATTAAAGGAGAAGGGAAGTTTTTCTCGTTGTGTTGGGGCCATTGACTGACTGCATCATTGGTGTGTGTGTTTGTGGACATTGTTGTAATCAAAGTAGCTCTACTTTGCCCAATTTTCTTACTTTTATCCTCTTATCGCTGTTCACTGCTAAGTCTCTCTCTCTCTGATCTCTCTGCTGCTCCTCTCTCTCTCTTTCCAAAAAAAAAAAAAAACACATGGCTGAAGCATTGGTGGGTGGAGCATTTCTCTCGGCTTCTCTTCAGGTGATGTTTGATCGGTTGGCTACTCGCGAGTTCATCAACTTCTTTTCCAAACAAAAAATGGATGATGGACTATTGGCCAAGCTGAAGATAACGTTGCTGGCCCTTCAAGCAGTTCTGGATGATGCGGAGGACAAGCAGATTACCAACCAACATGTGAAAGCTTGGCTTGACGAGCTCCAACATCTTGTTTACCAAGCTGACGACTTGCTGGACGAGATCGCTACCAAGGCCTTGAGGAACAAGTTGAAAGCTGATCATGATCAGCCCCAAACCCAAAACAACAGAATCAAGGTTGGTTTGACTCGATTTTTCTATATAATAAAGCAATTTCTTTTACAAATCAATTGTTTCGTCTCGACTCCTGCTTATTTGTCTGATGAAGCGATTGAGTCGAGAATGAAGGAGGTCATTAGTAAGTTGGAGTTATTTGTTGTTCAAAAAAGTGCTCTTAATTTGAGAGAGAATATTGGAAGGAAACATTCACAAAGACAACAAACAACTTCTCTGATAGATGAATCTGATGTCTATGGTAGAGATTACGACAAAGAGAAGATAATTGAATTGTTATTGTCTGACAATACAATTAGGAATCAGATTCATGTGATCCCCATTGTAGGAATGGGTGGGGTGGGAAAGACCACCATTGCTCAATTTGTATACAATGATCCTAGAGTGGATCAGAATTTTGATATGAAAGCATGGGTCTGTGTTTCTGATGAGTTTGATGTTTCTTTGACAACAAAGAGAATTGTTAAGGCTGTTTCGACATCCGCTGACGTCGACAACGACCTTAATCAGCTTCAGATGATGTTGAAACAGAATCTCGCTGGGAAGAAATTTCTACTTGTTCTAGATGATGTTTGGATCGAAAATGCCTTAGACTGGGAAAACTTAAACAAACCTTTCAAAGCTGGAGCACAAGAAAGCAGGATTATCATAACAACGCGCAGTAACAATGTTGCTCGTGTCATGGGTACTATTCATAGCCATCACTTGGACCAATTACCATTTGAAGATTGTTGGTCATTATTTGCAAAGCTCGCATTTGTGAATGAAGATTATATGGCTCATCCGGAGCTAGTTAGGATTGGCAGAGAAATTGTCAAGAAGTGTAGAGGCCTGCCTTTAGCAATAAAATCAATCGGAGGTATCTTGCGATCTAAACTGGATATTGATGAATGGGAGTATTTACTAAAGAGTGAGATATGGGGTTTGAAGGAGAGCAACATTCTTCCAGCTCTAAGATTGAGTTATCATTATCTTCCTTCGCATTTAAAGCGATGCTTTGCATATTGTTCGATATTTCCAAAAGATTACAACTTTGATAAAGAAAAGTTAATCCGGATATGGATAGCCGTAGATCTTGTGCAGCAACCTAAAAATAATATGCTATTGGAAGATGCAGGTAAAGACTACTTCCGTGAACTATTGTCAAGGTCTTTCTTTCAGAAATTAAGTCATGACACCAATTCTGATTTTGTAATGCATGACCTAATCCATGATTTAGCACAACAGATATCTGGAGAGTTTTGTTTTATGCTGGAAGATGACAAGCCCCTTAATCAAATTTCTGAAAAAGTCTGTCATTTCTCTTATGTTCAAGGCAGATACGATGCATTTGAGAAATTAAAGGTTGTTAATGAAGTTAAGTATTTACGGACCTTCATATCACTTTTAAACAACAAATGGTTCGTGAATCCTTTCCTAGGTAAAAAGGTACTAAATGATATGTTGCCAAGCCTGAGATCCTTAAGGGTGCTATCTTTGTCTGAATATTGGATTTCTGAATTGCCTCAGTCCATCGGAAATTTGATACATTTACGCTATTTGGATCTCTCTTGGACCGCACTGATACAGTTACCTGATTTAGTAACAACCATGTGCAATTTACAGACATTAGATTTGTCATACTGTCGACATCTCACTGAGTTGCCTGTGAATATGGGAAAACTAATAAACTTGCGCTATCTTGATATTAGAGAAACTAGATTGACAGAAATGCCGAGACAAATGAGCAGACTAAAAGATCTCCAACATTTAACATATTTTGTAGTTGGCAAGGATGGTGGATCAAGGATCAGTGAGTTGAAGGAACTCTGTCAACTTAGGGGGAAACTCCGCATTTCGGGGTTGGAAAATGTAATTAGTGGTCCGAATGCATCAGAGGCCAATCTAAAGGGAAAGGAGCACATTGACATGTTAGAGCTTGAATGGGGTGGTCATACTAATGATTCACAGAAAGAAAGAGAAGTACTTGACCAGTTACAACCTCATGCAAGGGTGAAGGATCTCAGCATCATTAATTATTGGGGCAGAAGCTTTCCGGAATGGTTAGAGAGAGTTCATTCGTTTCGTAACATGGTGTCCTTAAAACTTATAAGGTGTGCAAATTGCTATTTCTTGCCGTCAATTGGGCAATTGCCCTCTTTAAAACATCTAAGAATTAAAGCGATGACAGAAATAACGCAAGTTGGTCTCGAGTTCTATGGAGACGCTTCTTCTTCGATGAAACCATTTCAATCTCTGGAGACACTATGCTTTGATGTAATGCCAAAGTGGGAGGAATGGCATGCATTAGGGGCTGGAGAGTTCTCTTGCCTTTTAGAGCTTTCTTTGGTGTGTTGTCCCAAGCTAACCGGTGAATTACCCAACCACCTCCCTTGTTTAAGGAAACTTACAATTTCTGGATGCGAACAACTATTGCCTAATCAAGTTGCGCTGTTGCTGCAAGGTCTGCCTTCTCTTCAGAATTTGAAGATTTCTGGGATGCCAAACTTGAAGGAATTGCCTCCGGAATTGTGCAGATTATTAAATCTTGAAAGCTTGGAGATAGAAAGATGCCGGTACCTTGAGACAGCTATAGAGATGGGGTTGCCATCTACGCTCAAGGCTTTGAAGATTGAAGGATGTGAAGCTCTAAAGTCCCTAACAGTAGCAACATCATCATCAGAGGGAATGAATATAAATACGAATACAAAGCGCATCAACAACTTTTGCCTTGAAGAGTTGCGTATATCTGATTGTTCATCTCTTCTTCAGTTGTCTTTCCCCTTTGGTGGTCTACTTCCTCCTGCATTGAAAACACTTGACGTCTGCAACTGCAATAGTTTAGGGTTTCCCTTCCTGTCGGAGGATCTTAATTACCACACATGTTCCATTGAATTTCTGAATATAAGCGGATGTGATCTTCTGAAATCACTGTCATTGAGCTTCTTCCCAAAGCTTCGTTCTCTGAAGATCAGGGAGTGTAAAAATATAGAAACGATTTCAATTCCAGACGACAAGCTTCAAAATCTGATGGAGCTTCAAATACATAGTTGCCCTAAAATGGTATCCTTTGCCGGTGGAGGTGGAGGATTGCCCGCTCCCAATCTGACCTTGTTTCGCGTTTCTGATTGTGAGAATCTGAAGTCGCTGCCTCAACGAATGCACACCCTCCTCCCATCTCTTGAAGATTTGTATATAGATGACTGTCCAGAAGTTGAATCATTTCCAAACGGAGGCTTGCCATCCAACTTAACTAGACTTTCTATCAAAAATTGCGAGAAACTGGTGAAGGGCCGGATAGGGTGGGGTTTGCAAACACTCCCATCTTTTCGATTATTCAGGATCCATGGTGAATATGAAGAAGAAGTGTTGGAGACATTTCCGGAGGAGTGGCTATTGCCCACCACTCTTACCAATCTTTACATCCGGTACCTTCCAAATCTGAAATCACTAAACCACAAGGGCCTTCAACACCTCACCTCTCTTAGAAATCTGGAAATCTATGATTGCCCTAAGCTCCAGTCCTTGCCAGAAGAGGGGCTGCCCAACTCCCTCATTCGCCTGAGTATAGACTACTGTCCATTACTGAAACCACGTTGGTCCAAGATTTCCCAAATCCCCCACGTAGTGCTCAATGACAAATACTACTTAAACTTAAAGTGACATTCATTCATGCTCGCATGGATTCCTCTGCTTTCTATTCGTGCAGGAAAACAACCCCTCAATTTCCTTCCACTCAGGTATGTACATTGTTGTAAACTTGGTACTACTAGTACAACATATATAGTCAAACTTGTTCTAAACATGATGATTCTAGTAAGTTTTTCATTAGCAATATGTATAACATTTTGGTTTAATTGGATGGACTAACCCTTAATGTCTTTCTAAAAACAACAAAAGGAGTGGAGATACCACCTTAATTAATGCAAAAAAAATTGATTTCTTTACAGGTTCCCCGCATATGCTCGTATGGTAAATTGTTTTCTTTTTCTTACCACAAAAAAAAAAAAAAAAAAAAAAAAGGAGAATTGTTTAGTTAATTATAATCTATAAGTGTCCCATTTCTCCCCCTTCATATTTCATTTTCTGACAGTTTTTCATTACAACCAAACATGACAAAAATAATGAAATGCCTCATAACTTCTTTTTCTTTTCAGATTTTCAATGGATTCTCCAAAGAACTTCTAAACCTCCATTTTTCTCGAAACTGATGAAAAGAGTGGAGATACCACCTTAATTAATGCAAAAAAAATTGATTTCTTTACAGGTTCCCCCCATATGCTCGTATGGTAAATTGTTTTCTTTTTCTTATCACCAAAAAAAAAAAAAGCAGAATTGTTTAATTAATTATAATCATAAGTGTCCCATTTCTCCCCCTTCATATTTCATTTTCTGACAGTTTTTCATTACAACAAAACATGACAAAAATAATGAAATGCCTTATTAACTTCTTTTTCTTTTCAGATTTTCAATGGATTCTCCAAAGAACTTCTAAACCTCCATTTTTCTTGAAACTTGCATTTGATATTCAGGTAAGTCACATTTTCAATACAATATTTGACCACAATACTCCGAGCTTTTGACTTGTTCACCATTTTTTTGAAATCTAAAATGGACTATCCTGTGTAATTGGAATAGGTATGTGGATACTGAACTATGAGTGCATGAAAAACAGCAGTAGGGGAAGAAACTTTTAATAGCAATTCATATATTCTTTTCTTTTGCATTCTTTGTTGATTTTATTTTTTTTTTGGTTCATTACTGTTAAATAGTGCTGATATCAATAGGTAGCCTGTAAACTGATCTAACTATATTGAACTTAGCTGTCCTCAGACTCATGTTACATCTGCAGTAGAAATTCAGTTTGGCTGTCCTTTATGAAGTTAGTAAACCAAAATATCATGTTTTTCACTTTTGGAAAAGAAAAAAAACTAACAAACTTTTAATTGAATTGGCATTAAATTACTCTCAATGTGGCCCAGGCATTAACACTTTTTCATGCTTAAATATAGGTGATGGTTCTGTTTGGTTAGAATTCTGTTCCTGTTGTCTTGCCTATTAGAGTTTTCTTTGGTGAATTGTCCCAAGCTGACTGCTGAATTACCCAACAACCTCCCTTGTTTAAAGAAACTTACAATTTCTGGATGCCAACAACAACTACTATTGTCTAATCAAGTTGGGGTGTTGCTGCAGAGCCTGTCTTCTCTTCGGGAGTTAGAGATTTCATGGATGCCAAACTTGAAGAAATTTCCTTTGGAATTAATCAGATTATTAAATCTTGAAAGCTTGGAGATAAGGGAATGCCGGTGCCTTGAGTCAGCTCTAGAGATATGGTTCCTGTCGAAGCTCAAGACTCTGAAGATCGAAGGATGTGAAGCTTTAATGTTTCCCCTCCTAACAGAGGGTTAATTACCGCTTTCCATGTTCTATTGAAACTTTGTACTTGAAGAGTTGTGATCTTCTCAAATCGCTGTCATTAGGTTCCTTCCCAAAGATTTGTTCTCTAGAGATCGAGAGGCGTATAAATTTTGAAACGTTTTCAATTCCAGGCGACATGGAGCTTCAAAATATGACGGATTTGAACATCAGTGGTTGCAAGAATCTAGTATCATTGCCCCAACTAACGCACACCCTCCTTCCATCTCTTGAAAAATTGATGATAAGGAACTGTCCAGAAGTTGAATCATTGTCAGATGGAGGTTGCCATCAAACTTAAGTACACTTTGGATCTATAATTGCGAGAAACTGATGAAGGGTCAGAAGAGGTGGGGTTTGCAATCACTCCCATCTCGTGTACGTCACCATCGGTGGTAACTATGAAGAAGAAGTGTTGGAGTCATTTCCAGAGGAGGGGATATAAAAAGTCCTTTCTTTTTTCCATTCATATATATATTTTTTCCTCACAGTTTTCCTTTACAACCAAACAAGACAAAAATGATGAAATACCTTATTAACTTCTTTATCTTTTCCTTTTCATTTCAGATTTTCAATCGATTCCTCAAAGAACTGCTAAACCTCCAATTTTCTTGAAACTTGCACTGTTACCAGAGGGAAATTTTGATATTCAGGTAAGTCAGATTTTCAATACAATATTTGATCAAGATACTCTGAGCTTCTGACCTGTTTACCCTTCATTCGAAAACTAAAAGGGACTACCCTGTGTCATTTGAACAGGTTCAGTGGAGATCAATGCTGTTTCTAATAGCTCAGTGCCTAGATTGTGGATATTTAACAATGAATGCATGAAAATCAGCAGTGGAGAAGAAACTTTTAATAGTAATTCATATATTCATATTCTTTTCTTTCACATCATTTTTTTTTTGGTTTTTTCTTCCAATGAAATGGGAAATTCAGCAACTGAATTGGCATTAAACTACTTTCAAAATGGCAACACTTTATCATGGTTAAACCAAAACATCATGTTCAGTTTGCATTCAATAATGAATGTCTTTGGAAGTTGCTACCTGTTTTTGTTTTGTCCGTATTTTTCTTCCTATTTTCAATTTTCTTGGCTATTATGATGATTCTTCAATGTCGAAAAATATAGGTTTTAAATTTATTTTCCTCTATCAAGATCTTTTAAGTTGATACACTATCTTCATGTATTGACTCTTTCCTAATTGAATGCTTTGCATAGGTTCATGTAATAAAACCACATAAGATACAAAGAATTGGTGCTGGCATCGTCCCTGCAGTTTTGGAAGTCAACATTCTTGATGGAGTTGTTCAAGTAAGACTCAAAATCTTGTTTTTGGGACTTTAGTTTGAATTGACCTAGAAAGATTGATGACCTTGTCCAGATGAAATCTCAACTCTCTCGACATTGATGGCTGCAGAGAAACTTCAATTCTCGGTCAGGTGTGTCCCTTCACATTTGGCAGATAGAATTTTAGCAACTGCGTAATCAGTGAAATATCTAATAAATCTGGTTTAATTTGATAAACTATTGCAGACTAATATAATTTTTGTTTGCAGTTAAAGACCCTTGGATCTCTTTTTGATCCTCGTCACGATTGAAGGCAAATAAAATGGAAAAAAAAAGAAAGCAGAAGTAGAATAAAACAATCCATAGGTAGGAATTATCCATTTCTTTGTAAGTTATAGAATCCTATTTATTTATTTAGTTTTTCTTATAGTTTTCCATTACAACCAAACAAGACGAAATAATGAAATACTGTATTAAAATCTTTATATATCGTTTTTTGATTCCAGATTTCAATGGATTCTCCAAAGAAGTGCTAAACCTATGATTTTCTTGAAACTTGCACTGTAACCAGAGGGAAACATCGAACTCGGGTAAATCATATTTTCAATCAAATAACTTATCAGAAGACAGCCAGATTCATGAACTTCTCTCTGTTTCTCTTACATGAGCCACTCATGCACACATAGTAAATCTAGTTTGCATGGGTTATAACTTTTAATTTATTTGATACAATTCTCAACAATGTTATTTGCCGGGGAAAAAAAATTCTCAGCGCACAATGTATATATAATTATTATCTCAGTACTTTTACGTATTATTATCTTTTTATTTTCTAGTTTTTAAATTTTTTGTGGATACTTACACTGGATATATGGACACGAGGGGACTATGATGTTGGAAAATTGATGCAGACTCACAAAATAGGTGTGTTCCTATTCAGCTTGGGCTAAGGCATTGGAGAGACTTTACTGGTCTTTGTATAGTCATCATATTCTTAGTAAGGATATTTGATCACAAACATAGCAATTCCATAATAATAAAGAGTCACTGTAACATTTTTTGAGACATACTTCATTGTCCTTGTGAAATTGATTCCGAGGTTTATGAACTTCTCCCTCAGTTTCGCTTACATTTAGCCACTCAGGTACATGTTTAAATTCTAGTTTGCATGATTTATTAATTACTTCTATTTATTTGATTGCAGGACCACATGTTTGGAAATCTTGGTATATTCTGGTAGCACAATGGTTGTTTATGTTACTTTCCGATCTACGTATTGTAGGTTACTCCATTAGCTTTGGGTTTTATTCAGTCAGCATAACACTACAGCGTGCCGGGAAGGGAACTGGAGCATGATTCGTGTGCCTTTTGAGCTCATATGAACGTAGGCAAGGTCTGAAGTTGGCCGTTTAATTCTGCAACGAGGTACGTGATTTTTCTGTCATCTTTTCAAGGCATGGAAGACTATACTAGAACCATTTTTGGTTAATATGCAGAAACGATGCGTCAAAGCCATTGCAACATGGTCACAGAGGAATCTAGAAGTGTTGGGTTAAATGCTTTTGCACATGACATATTGATGTGAGTCGATGCTGGTGTTGGAATGCAGAATCATAAAACACAGCCTCCTCTATGGGATTGCGCCAAGGCAATGGAGGAAGACGATGCTTCATCATTTTCACCGAGTCCAGTTTTGACCACTTCTGCACTTGGCGCCCGTTTTTGGGTATTCACAAAGTCTAATTTCCAACTGTTAGAATTTCATAGAGAGTTCACAAGTTCGTTTGAATTTTTATCATCAAATTGATGTGTATATTTTAGCTATAGCCAAAGATGACCGAGAGACAAGTATTGTATTAAGAACCAGCTTTTCTGTAAATGTTTGCTTTTTATCAGTAAATTAGGGATGTTCCTTTATGAATAATGATTTAACTTGACCTAAGGATATAAAAATGGCTCGTATATTTCTTAAATAAAATTTATTCTCTGAAAATTTAGAAGCCACATTGGCCACAGCTCAGTGCTATTAGAGGGTTTTTGCTTAAGTCTCCCAATAAGAGTTTGACAAACTAAAGAGGCCAAGTAGCCATCCTTCAACACAACCTAATGTGGTGCATTTTTATTGATTCGGCATACCAGTGACTTGGGCATACTGTATCCAGTGAGTCTCACTGGCATGCCTAGCCAACGGAAAACAATTTAAATTTGTTGAAATCTGTTTTTTGTATGTGAATCATAAATTTTCATTAGTTGGACATACCAATGCCAAACTCATCTTGCTAGAATTGCATAGCTAACACAGTATTGAGTTGCCCCCAACACAGAAATTAGCCAGAGTTTGATTGGGCCATTGAAAAGGGTATTTAGGTATGAGCCTGCAAATTGAAGTAAATTGAGCCTATTTCAATTAAAAATTGACGCCTATTTGTCCACTAATGTTCCCATGACGTTCCATATTTACAAAATTCAAACCTGAGTCAGAACACAACTTCAGCATATCCATTCAGGGGATGTTTCAAACATCAGCTTCAGTATCTTCCTACCAGTTTTTACAATGTCCATAACTTCAAAATATCTCTAAATATCTGTGAATATATTTATAATTTTGGAACTTCATAACCATAATCCTTTCTCACCATTTGAATGTTTTAAGGAACTATTGTGTTCATTTGGAATGACACTCCCCATCACACCAAAACTTCGCCTAGTATTGAAGCATAAGTCAAAATTTTGACACACGGAACAGACCTCGAAAAATTACATACCACTCACAAAGGAAAAGGAGAAAATAAACAATACAAAAAACAAAGGACAATGGATGTAGGAGTTGCACCCTAGTTCCTTCTACCCCTGTTTCGCCTACTAGATGAAACCACCGTCCATCCATCTTCCGTTTCAGCCGCTTCATTAGGCCTTGGATTATCAACCATCATATCCTTGTGATCTGAATTTGGCTGAGATTCCAAACCATCGACTGCCATTTCCGATGAATCATCATTCTTTGTGATTTGACTTTGGCTGAGATTGCCAGCCAAGCTCTGAGCATCATCACTACTATCATCGTCATCACTGATGATAGCCTGAAAAATGGTAGGGAAGCGAAAGGGAAAGAAACATAAATCAACATATACAGACCCTGGCATATGGAACAGGGGGAAAAAGAGCATATATTTATTAACTACATATACTTTTTATGCAACATGCCTAAAAAGTTTAATAATAATAAAAAATACTAATCCCGTACAATTGCATGTACATATGAAATGCAAATTATGAACATCATACCCTCTTTGTTGATGATCTCATGCCATTGGGCCACATGAACACAACCTGTTTAATAAATGGGTCGTGTAACTCACAACACAGCTCAACCCATTTAATAACCTATTTAACCCGTTCAAATTAAAAGGGAACAAATGATATATATAGATGAGTACATTCAGGAAAATGAGAATAATTTGGACAATACAATTACCAAGAAAAAGGACAATCAATATCCATATTGGGTTTATATTCAAATTAGAGAAAATGTCCATAATAATTGGGTTAAAGCATGTTATGGGTTAAACGGGTTAAACCAACATGATTAATCACACGGGTCTAATTGGATTAAATGGATTGAGCCCTAAAACACGAACACGATATGATCAATTCAATGGATTAAACGAGACGACAAAATTATTATTCAAACACAATTAAGGTTAACCCAAATGTGCCAACTTCGTGTCATGTTGGATCGTATCGAATTTCGCCACCCCTATTAGTGTCATTGAGTAAATAGATAATATGATGGAGGCAAAATAATGGTTGAAAATGGAGACATCAGGGTTGGTTCATTGACTAATTTTGATGGATGATCTGTTGATCTGTGTGCGTGTGTGTGACAGAGAGAGAGAGAGGCTGTGTGTGAGAGAGAGAGTTAATAACCTCCTCCATATTCCTTAAAATTAAAACCTAATTTCAGAACTCATGATGCTCACATATACAAGGTTTGTTTTTTTTTTTTTTTTTGATAGATAATGAAAAGATTTTATAAAAAACGCTGATACGGGCAGCGCTCCCAAACCAAACGACGACACTAAAGTTTCACATGTATATGGTTTATTGATTTGTATGCACGTGTGTGTGTGTGTGCATTACAAGTTTGATTTTAGATGAGTTTTAATTGATATCTTTATCTACATTTATATAGAGAGAGAGAGGGAGGTTTGATTTATATAAAGGGAGAATAGTGAATTGAAGTTTAGGACATGGTATCAACGGGCCAGTGGCCCAGACCCTTACTTCTCAAAGGGAGGATAGGGGTTCAAGCCTCCACTGTGTGAGTACCAATTAAAAAAAAAAAAAAAAAAAAGTGATGGATTTAGGACATGGTAGAACAAGGGAATGAGGTGAAAAGGAGAGGAGAATTAGTAAGCAAGAAGTGGGTGGGCCATTCTCAATTGGATGGTTATGAACCTTTTTTTTTTCTTATTTAAAAGATTGTTGACATGTGTTATTGTAAAAAAGATTAACAAAATGATGTTGTTTAGTTGATGGGTATTTCAGTAATTTCTCATTTTTACCAACGGTCATCAAACATTGCACTAATTTGAAACACAATGCACCTAGATTTTAAGTAGTAATTACACCAAAAAACTCTAGAGAGTAATTGCACCTAAACATCCTCATGGAGACATCTATTGAATCTGAATGGAAATGAAATGTCCAAGTAGAATGGAGAGATTAAGACAAATCAATTGCAATTCTAAAATAATATGCAGCGAACTGGACATGAGTTAACCAATTTTGGAGACTATATTACTTCAGATACAGCTATGCCTCATGTCAATTTTGGCGTCATGATTCATATAGTATAGAATATTCCCCCCACTTACCCTACGCCAACATCAAATTGGGAGTTACAAGGTCCTACATGCCATATCTTATATAAGCAATCTAACCCTAAAACTCAAGGATGCTTTCTGATGAATGAGACCATGCCCTCCTTTAAAGGAAGAGCAACAAAAATGCTATGGTGGCAGCCATAGCACACCAAAGAGGGAGAACAACATATCCCTAAGCTACTGCTATGGCACAATAGATCAATAAAAGATTGGCACCCAATGGATTAATAAGAGATAATAGTCAGTCTCCTCAATAGCATCACCCATGCAAAGTATTTCCTTCTCACCCAAGACTATCAATGGTCAAAATTGCCTCCAAAGCAAGGTACCTGTTGGTTATTAATGCCATGCCACCTTGAATCGCCTTTGCAGCCACTACACTTGGCATCTCTCCAGCCACATGAATTACCACCAAATGATCTTGACATGGACGCATCTCTTGCAAATAGATGGCGCATCTCCTTTCCAGCATACCAGCTCAGAGTGTGCCTTGGTGCCTGAACCACAAACCTCAACATGGGCATATCTCTTGCATGAGCAAGGTTTTTCTGCACTTTCGAGTTTACCACCAACTAAGTTTATCACAATAACTGTGTTCTGCTATCATGATTTCTTGAAGGACTATCCGGTTTATGGCTGTAAATGAACCGAGCTGTTCGTAAAAATAGCTCGGGCTCGGATTGATAAGAACTTGGCTCATGTTCATTTATTTAAGCAAATGAAGCGAGCTCAAAGAGTTTTTTTAAACTGATTTTTGTAAATGAGCCAATCTCAAACAGCAACCAACTCAGCCCATTTGTCCAAAGAATAAAAAAGTTTGTGAACTGAGTTTATGAACATGCTGGTAACAAAAGCTCTTAACACATAATCTCTCTCTCTCTCTCTCTCTCTCTTTGCTAAAGTGATTTCTTGAAAGACTATCCAGTTTATGGCTGTAAATGAACCAAGCTGTTCATGAATAGCTCAAGCTCGGGTTGATAAGAACTTGGCTCATCTTTGTTTATTTAAGCAAATGAAGCGAGCTCTCAGAGTTTTTTTAAATTCATTTTTGTTAATAAGCCAATCTCAAACAGCTAATAACCCAGCTCATTTGTCAATAGACAAAAATGTTTGTGAACGGAGTTTATGAATATGCTGGTAACAAAAGCTCATTAGGCTTGATTCTTAACACAATCTCTCTCTCTCTCTCTCTCTCAATTGTCAGCGATGCCAATGATAATATTTCTTCATAAATTTCTCACTTCTCTCTCTCCCCCTCTCTTCTCTCTCTCACAATTGTCAGAGATGCCAATGATAATATTTCTTCATAAATTTCTCATTTCTCTCTCTCTCTCTCTCTCTCTCACAATTTTATCTCTCAAAATTCTTTGCAAATTAGGGTTTCTTAGTCTCGGATGTTTAGACAGACAGATACAGATACATATAGAAACACACACACACACACACACATATATATATTCATGCGGCATTACATGCCTATATATACAAAATTGTCTCAATCTCATTAATAATTCCAACAACTCCTATTTTGGCATGTAGAGGCACGTCGATTCTAATTTGTTCAGTCTTCTTGGTTACAAGACTCTTTCTCAGTTCTGATTTTTAATCAATCCCAATACGAGCTCGAGCTTGAACAAAGATACCATGTGCCCTTCCGGAATATGTTCACCCCAGGTTGCTCTCGATATTTCTCCACCTTGCCTATGTGTACTCTCTTAATCTCTCCACCTCCTAAGTGCTTGGTATATGTGAGCTATCACACTCGTCCTTTACACATGCCTGGAATATTATAAATAAGGATGAGTCTTACCTGATTTGCTAATTTTGAGGAAAGAGAGAGAAATTAATTCATGGTTAGAGCTAAAGCGTGAACTGTAAAAGTGGAGTGTTCATGGGAATCTGTCTTCATTTTATCCTGATGTCCTTTATTGGCATATTCTCTCACACCCCACCCCACCCCAACCCCACTCTCTCGCGCGCCAATGCTACCTTGATTTCCGCCTAATTCGATCTCCTGAGACATGCATTCTCATAGTAATATCTTCACCTTCAAAACCATGCTCAAACACCTACAATAACTTAACATGCAAACACCCTAGCAAAGAAACCTAGTGCACTAGCATCACACAATACACTATTACACGACTTCTTACCTCACCTCAAACTCACCGTCACATGCCTTCCACCTCAAATTCTCCTCCCTCCGCACACTCACTCGGACACCATACATTATCCCAGAGTAGCATTATTAATTCGAGTAACAAACCTATTCGGAATTTTTTGTGGCCGTCAGTGTTATTAAAAGCGCGCCTGGGCGCACGGCACGCGCCCAGGCGCAGCTTTTGCGCCTCATGCTAGCCCAGGCGCAGCGACCTTCACTAGGCGTGCGCATGGGCCGCGCCTTGGATGGTTTAAGAGGCACGCTTAGGCGCGCTTCATATATTCTGTGGTCCTTTTATAATTTGTTTGCTTTTTTACTTTATATTGTTATATATATATAGTTACAGCTTTGAAAACTGAAAGTACAAAACAAAAACTTTAAGTACAAAATGGAAATTTGTCCTCTTGTGACTTGTGAGGCAACCCAATGTATCACAATAGTCAACAAAACAAATCAATCTATAGCAAAAGCTGCAGCAGAAATAAAGACGTGAGGGAGGGGGAAACAGAAGAAAGAGAAAGAAAGAAAGAAAGAAAGAAGAGAAGAGAAGAGAAGAGAAGAGAAGAGAAGAGAAGAGAGGGCTATCAGTTGCTTCCATCCGACGAAGATGAAGCCGGAATCACCGAATCAACCTACCAGGTCAGTTTAGTAATTTTTTTCCTCCTCCTCCTCTTCTCTTCTCCTCTTCTCTCTCTCTCTCTCTCTCTCTCTCTCTCTTCATTTGCTTATTCTCTAATCTCTATATCTCGCTTTTTTTTTTTTTTGGTCTCTTTTTTTCTTCTTCACCTCTATATCTCTGGTTTTCTTCTTTCTTTTTCTGGGTCTCTTATTTTTTTTCTTCTATCTTTTTCTCGGTCTCTGTTTTTGTTCTTATGGGTCTCTGTTTTTTTTTTTTTTTTTACTTCTATCTTTTTCTCCGTCTCTGTTTCTGTTCTTCTGGGTCTCTTTTTTTCTTCCTCCTCTCTATATATCTGGTTTTGTGTTTTTCTCGGTCTCTTTCTTTTTATGGGTCTCTTTTATTTTTTTTTCTTCTATCTTATTCTCCATCTATGTTTTTGTTCTTCTGGGTCTCTATATATATATATATATTTCTCTCTCTGGCTTGTATTTTTTTTCTTGCTGTATTTTTTTTCTCGTTGTATTTTTTTTCTCACTGTATTTTTTTTTTATTTTTTTTTTTTTCTCTCTCTAGCCTGTATTTTTTTTCTTCATTGTTTTTTTTTTCTCCTTTCTTCTTTGAAGGCTGCCTGTCTCTTCTTTTTTTTGTGTGTTGTTGTGTTCTGTTTTTTCTTCTTTTGAATGCAATTTACTGAATTTTGCTACATGCTGTATGCTAAATTATTTAAATTTTGAATGCATCTTTCTGAACGGTGTTTGCTGAAAGTGTGAATGTTGTTTGCTGAATTTAACTTGGTCCATCACTCCATTGACTCCATTCTATTTAGTGTTTTTATTATTGGATGTTCATTGTTTAATTGTGTTATTTTTGTTAAGAATTATTGTTTTAAAATTATACTTGTGCGCCTCACATCACTCAGGCTCGCGCCTCGCCGTGCGCCTCGCGCCTAGGCTCCAAGGGGCCTCTAGCGCCTCGGTGCGCCTTGGGCTTTTAATAACTATGGTGGCCGTAAATGCTGGCATATCTAAAGTCAATCGACCATGTACCAAAACTGATGGCAATGTACAACACCCCGTTTAAATCTTAATAGGATTTGTCAAAGAAAAATATATAAATAAAATATAATAAAAATTTACATGTCTTCTGCATAGTTAAAAAATTTTGAAGCAACAACTGATAATTGACATATACAATATTTGCTTTTTTAACAAATTTTAGAATATTAAAGTTGCTGAACTAGTACTAAAAGAATTGCCTGCACAGCCACCAAATGATGTTCAGCAAATCAGATAAGTTCTACTCAATATCGTATTTACAGATTTTCCATCATTCCATAAACTTAGTCTCATGTGAACAGCACAAACACAAAGCTCAGCAAAAATGACAAAATATTCTTTACTATCAAAGGAAATGATAATTACTCATGCAGTGTATCATTTTTTCAGCTAAGGAAGTACAATGTTACCTGTCTGATAGGAGGAATAGCACCCCCAGGAGGATTGGGTTCTTTCAGGCTTTCAATCGACTGATAATTACCATCAAGACATTCCTCATGCATAACCATTAATTTTTCTGCTACCTGCTTAGAGCCAAAAAAAAAAAAAAAAAAAAAACCAGAAACATTACAAGAACAACCAATTAGTAGACGTTGCAGAAAGACACGCGTAGACTTGCTAAGCATTAAATTTGGGCACAAACAGTACGGAAGAGCATAAAAATAGATAAAAAACAACAGTAATAACATGAAAAAGAGAACCAAGAGATCACCACTTTTCACTCATCCAAATACAGTAAAAAGACGACACTTGTCACTACTGGCAAATATGCTTATTTGTCAATTGGTAAAATCCATCTATAAATGTCAGTGAAAGCAGCATTTACTTTGAGAATATAGAAATTGAACCTTTAAAAAGGTTGGATGACAAGAACCTTAACCCATCCGAACTTCAATTCTCATATCTTTATGACCTTCAAGAAAGCAGTTGTGAAATGAAAAGAAATTACAGAATAGAAAGAGAAAACTTGTCAATGCTTAATGTAAGATTGAGAGGAAGACTCTGCCTGTAATCATCATTCTTGTTTTCGTATCTTGGGGCTAGTAGAATTATTCAATCTGCATCAGTTTTATTTAACTTGGTGGAGTGTAGGCATGGGCGGAACTACATGGGGCCAAAATTTTGAAAAAAAATCCTAGCATATGGTTACTCTATGATGTGGTCCCCACAAATCCTTCAAAGAAAACCTCAATTTAGACTTTAATCTAACTTTTGGAAGTTTACATTTTAAGAGAGAGTTCAAATAAAAACCCCAATTTAGACTGTAATCTAACTTTTGGAAGTTTACATTATAAGAGAGAGTTCAAATAAATATAACTATAGTTAGTATTTCCATTCTTCTCCTCCTTTCAAACACTTAAAATACTTTTAATTATAAAAAATCTCTTTAAATCTTCTTTATGTTAGGAAAACATACTAAACTTCTATAATAAAAAATTTATAATTACAGTTTATTTATATGCATGTATAAATTCTGTTCTCATACTATTAGTTCAAGTGTTAAATCATATACTAAATGGGCCCCCATTACTAAAAATTCCTGGGTCCAACCCGAGTTTAGGCCCTCCCTATCCTTGTACTTTCCTCATATGGTTATTAAGTAGTGTCTTACTAAGATGGGAATCTACAAATTCACAATTACACAACGATACTTGGAATTGAAAAGTGGTAAGGAATTTACAATCCGATGGAGATTTGGACTTCACTAGAAAGATCCAGGCCCAAGAAATTAACCCAGACCATTTTTAAAAAGGCATCTACAATACATGGAAAAATATCATTGGAGTCGGACCTTGAGGGAACCAACTGCATGACGATGAGAAAATATTATACATCTATACAAGACAACATGTAGTTAGGTGCATGATTGAGTTAAGATGGCCATAATGTTATATGATACGGATAGAATTAGAATTAGATACATATGAATCATATGATACATTATAGCCATCTTATATGATACATATAGATGTTCATAATGTTAGCTCTATGTAATACAGATAGAATTAGAACGTCTATATAAAAATTAAGGAGTTATTATGTACTATACTGTCCTCAACACATAGTTAGGTGCAACTTAAAACAGCTATGGAAAATTAGTATGGAAGCTTCAAAAACATCCATTTTCCATGGTAGAAAAAAATCTGTTGTAGTCGAGGACATTACTACTTCCGAAAGGTTTTCCAACTTATGAGAAGGAAGGAAGCAATGTGCTGAGAATCAGTTACATCGGCGAATGTTGCAATTAAGACAGACCTGATGTTTTGAGGAAAATGTGGCAAACTAATTTCAATTGCATGATGTTATATGTATGTGTGTGTGCGTGCAAGAGTTAATTGATAGAAGAAGCTTTGAATTCAAAATTGATGAAACGGGAATATGACAAGCATAAATATTGTTTTTGCATTAAAACAATTTGTGTAAAAAATGACAGTGAAAGTCACTTTGAACTGAAATGAAACCTAAATTAAGTTGTGGGACTTAATGAATTGGTTAAGCATCTAAAATTTCAAATTCAACAAGCTTGCATTTGAAACAATTTTGAGCTTCCTGAAAAAGGAACCAACGAAAAAAAGTGCACTTCAGTTTTATTTAATACCTAACCACCACGAGAAACAACTTATAAAGGTTCGCATTGACATATAAGACATTATTACACAATTCAAACAAAGCAACAAGGTAATAAAAAATAGTAAAAGCTAATGACCCCATAAAAATGAATAAGCATCAACTGTCTCAAATCCTTGAGGCAAAACATAACAAAAAAACCAAGCCCAAAGAAACACTGGGATACAAATCATATAATACAAATTTGATACTCTGAAATGATTCTCATAAATGCTCATGGATAATGAAAACTGAAGGTGGCAAGAAATGTTAAAAAAGGCATACCTCCTCAATACTGCCATCGTCAATCTCAGTATTAAGAGAGAGCATAAACTCGTCTAGCAAGTCTTCCAAATCATCAATATATAGTGGCTCTGCACGGAGAATTAACAATCCAAGAGAGAAACAAATTAAAATTAAAATTGAACGAAGTCAGTCATAAAATAGAGAAAGCACTTGCTAATTCAAATAATAAAATCAAATAAAGCACCAATTCATATAACAAAGTAACCCAATAATATAATATAATATAATATATGCTCAAACCTCCTTTCTTACACTGAAATTTTGTTATAGGTCTCAACTGAGAGAAGGTAAGACAATGGCCAAACAAGCATATGATTTGTTGTCTCTGCTTTCACGGTTTAATATCGAAACACCCAAAAGTTTCTGTATTTGCTATTTAGGAGCTAAAATTTTCAGGGAAATGAAAATTAAAATTTAAAATAAAATCACTGTACTCAAGACCAAAGTTAATTGAATAAAAGAAATCACTCTTTGCAAGCTTCATTTATAAAAACATTACTGGTTAGTGGTTTCGGGAAAGTAAAAAAAAAAAAACCCACACAAAATCAGTTAAAAAGTAGTCAATATGAACATGTGGGTGCGTGTGTGAGAGAGAGAGACATACCTGTTGATTGGGTGAGCCAATTGAAGATATCGTCGGCGAGGTGTTGGGGTTTCAGGCGAGAGTCGCGTCCACCCCACTCGTTCTCGACGGCCAACTGAAGCGCAGCCCATCGAGACAGAAGCAAACTGATTCCTTCTTGGAGGTTTCTGACACCCTCCGCTGAAAGCTGGGTTACTCCGGCAGAATCCATTGGGAAGTCTTGCAAAACCCTAAACCTAATAATCTTATATACATACGTAAATATATTGTTGTATAGTTTATGTTAGTGTGTACCGTCTATTTTAATTTGAGAGACATCCAGACACTTCTCTGTTTCCACCATTTGACAAATATGGATCCGGTGCAATTGCAAGTGGGTGGGCCATGAGAAGGTATTTGAATGGTGAAGATTCTAGAACTCGTTTGGACCCTTAAAAGGTTAAACGGGTGAGGTGATCAATTTTTTTTTTATATGATTTAACGAATTCGTTTTGATTTGAAAAGAGCATCAAAATTGGTCCAATTCGCAAATACAAAGTAGGCTACCTTTTGACCGAATTCAATCGTTTAGGACCGAAAACTTACGTTTTCCTAATTTTGAATATTCCTGAATTTTTGTTAGAAGACTAAACTAATTCCAATTGCTTTCTTTTTTTATATTTAGCCGTTTTTAGTAATTAGGTTAATTAGGTTTTTTTTCTTATTTTTACAAAATTTTCAGAACAAGTTTGTTGTTCATTTTTAGGGTTTCTTTTATGTTATTAAAGTTTTTTATTTATAATACATATTGTAAAGCAAATCATTAATTCAATTATTAATATATTATCAAATTCCTCTATAATTTTTTTTTTTTCTTGTGAATTCAAAAGTACAACCTTATGAATTTAAGGTAAACCTCATCCCTTGCACCCGCACATCAAAATCGTAAATAATTCATGCAAACAGGGGCGGAGGGAAGGGGGGCCAGCGGGGGCCATGCCCCCCCTAATTTTTTGAAATTTTTTTTTTAGTATAGGTCAAGATAAAATATGTAGTATATATAGTATAAAAATTTCATTTGAAGTTTTAAATATCAACAAAAATCGATGATTTAAGAATCTAAATTTTTATTTTATTAATTTGTTTGTGTTTTTTTTATTTTTTTTTTATCATTGTTATTGTTTTGTTAAATTTTCAATTGTTACATTTTTTTTAAAGTTATTTTTTTTTTTTTTCCTTTTCGGTAAATAAAGAGAGTTATTTAATTGAATTTTTTTATAATTTTGGCATAAATCTTATTTGTGTTTGTTCAGAAAGTTTAATAAATTTTTTTTTTAAAAATAACTAGTTTTTATTTTTTTATTAAAATGAATTGAAAAAAGTTTAAATAGATATATTTTTGTATGAATATAATAAATAATAAAATATTTTTGCCTACGTAATATATATTTTTTTTTTCCAAAGTTCTAGCTAGGTAATGTTGTTTATAATTTTGGCCCCCCCAACTCAAAATCCTGGCTCCGCCCCTGCATGCAAATCACGTGTAAACTTTGATAACTTAGGTACACAACACACCAAATATATTTTACTAATATAAAGCCCTTAATAATTTGTGCCGAGTCACAATGTTGTGGGCAGGAGTTTGTATTTGGTAGCAATGTTGCTATTCTATTGAAGAATAATGATACAAAAATATCGTTTTTTTTAATTTTAATTCCAAAAAATAAATTTAGAATTCTTTGTATGAGAATACATTTTCTCCTCATTACATCAGTCCACGATTGACATTTTTATTACTTTTTATGAAATAATATCTTCGTCTCTAACTTCCAATCCAAATGTATTGTGTAGACTTTTGTTACTCAATTTAAGAAAAGAACAAAAATTAATATGCATTTATCGAAATACTAGAGAATAAAATGTTGATTTCATTTTTTAATTAAATATTGATAAAGGTCAATTTTAGTTAAAGCACCAAAATAGCCTAATTGAATCAAGCTAGAGTATGTGAACTATTTCGTAATTAGTGATTAAGTTGTTTCTCATTATTTTTGGGAGTCCGACTTTGAACTTTCACACTTCTAACCTCCTTTTCAACATTGAAATAATAATAATAATTATTATTATTATTATTATTATCAAGATAGAATATGTTTAGCTCAATTCCATATTACAAAATGGGTTAAGCTTGCTTACAATCCTCAAATGTAGTACAACGCTACTAATAACATCCAAATCTCACAAACACCTCCAATCTCACAGGCTGACTCCCACAAACACCTCCTGTTCACAACTGCGTCCACCCATCCTTGACTCAGTCACAGGCACGTAATTATGGGGGACACTTTTTCTTGGAGGACACTGAATCAGGATCATTGTGGACATAAAAGTCCTTGGGACCAACAAGGATGGTTGAATCCAACACGTGTCATCATATGCAAGCGTGTAATCACCCATTTCGCCACGTGGCAACCCAACAACCTTGACCAAAAGTTAGTTACTCAAATAACATATATTAAGCCAACAAAGTTTGTACCCTTGAATCCCACAGCTATTTCTGTCATGCATTGCTTCATATATATTGAGACCTAAGGCACCGGAAGTCTGACCAACTTATTGCCGGAATCTGACCCACAACACCCACCCATTTCCACCCATCAACACAAAATGAGCCAGGAACAGCCAATTAGGCCCCAATCCGAACAAGAACCGACCGAGCTTCATGCGCAGCCGGAGGCGCCCCAGGATGCCGATGCCGCCGCCGCAGTGACGCAGCCTGCAGAGCTTGAACAGACCCAGAAAGATGGGCCAACCTCGGCAATGCAATCGGCAGCTAATCGGAACGAGAAAGCTGAAAATAATCGTTCGGGGCGACGTATTATATCTGAATCAGTTGAAGGACAGGTTATTCCTCTAGGGTGTGCGCGTGTGTATATAGCGGGTGTAGTCATTACCTTACGGTTGTGAACATGTCACATCAATTACCGATTAAGTACATAATTAAATTTAAACGAAGTGATGTGACATGATGACAACGATTGAATGGAGAAGATCCAAACTCATAAAGTATCAACATAAAAACCTACTACATATGTCAATTACTTATTTAGAATGATTAATTATGTGAGACTTGTGTATGATGGTTATGTCTGCAATCTGTATAGGTTGTTGGGCATTATGACCACTTACCAGGGGCCAATTTCGAACCGGGAAACATCACCATTGGCGAAGCACTTGAGGCTACAGCTCTGACATTGGGACACAAGCCGGTGGATTACAGCGACGCAGCTGCAATTCAAGCAGCGGAAGTCAGAGCCACTGGCCGTACCAACATTGTTCCTGGTGGAGTCGCCGCAGCTGCTCAGTCTGCTGCAACCCGCAATGCTCGGACCGCACGCGACGAGGACAAGACCAAACTCGCTGACATTCTTACGGTAATTATCTCACCCAATGTTCATAAGAGAAAGTAGAATTAGGTGATATGATCATTTACGACGTACATCAGAATTGTTGCATCAGATAGGATAGAATAGAAATGAATGGAAAAAGAAAATTCAAGACGAGGACGATGAAATGATACCTAATTACAACATTCTAAATACATATTACATATAGACAATGCTGATATGCACATATATGTGTTTGTGTGTGTGTGTTCTGCATGTATATATATCATGTTTGATGTGAGGAAGCATTGTTTGTATGATTTTTTTGGCTGCAGGATGCTGCTGCCAAGTTACCGGCAGATAAGGCAGTGACGCGTAGAGATGCTGAGGGAGTGATTGGTGCAGAACTGAGGAATGATCCGAATCTGACCACGCGTCCGGGAGGCGTAGCTGCCTCTGTGGCAGCAGCTGCCAGGATTAATCAGTCTAAATAACAAAGCATCCAGGTTTTCCAAGTACCAAGCTCTCTGTTGTTCTCTCTCTGCAATCACCCACTAGGGCATGAATAAATTAGCTGTCGAATTAGGTTTTTGATACCTACTACTGTGTCTTGTACAATGCCTAGTTACTCAACATGAAGTCTTAATAAACTGGTTGTAAAACTAGCTTTCTGATACACACTTATTGTGTCTACAATACCTCATTACTCAATAGTCAGTATGAATTTTTTGGATCAATTTTGAAATTCTCACGTGCATGCCTATATGAGCAGACATATCTATATGGCAGGGTTATGAATTACAAACACTTTTGTGACTTGTGGAGGCAACAATGTGTTTCTCAAAAGTTTTGAAGAGGCTAGTGAGGGTTTACAGAGGTTCACAATTACACATTAATTTACCTAATTTTCTTTGACTTTCAGGAAAAATCAATGCTAGAACCTGTATGTGAAATTATGAAAAAGTTCAAAAATTTATACCAGTCTACCTAATTAATATCATCAAACCAGGTGGATTTTGTGAATTGAAAGGAGATTCCCTAGTAAATTAGTAGACTAAGGTTCCATAAATGAAGGTTACCTGAAATCTATTTTTAATTTTAACCATTAACATTGAAACTTTAAGGGCACATATCTCATGTGGTTAAACTAATCAGTTTGGTTCATGCGAGCTACACGGGTCTATAGAAAATTCTCTAAATAGTATATTAAAACAAAAACAACCTGATCCTCTATATCTCACACCATTATGCATCAACAATCTTGAGTTGATAAGTAAAATGTGATGGAACCCGATCATCTGAGGCTTCCTGTGACGACAGGCATAGAAAGGCAAAATTGAATCAAACAACACCTAAAGGGGTAGCTCAGTGTAAAGGCTCTCTTCATTATGACGTCTAGAGAGTGTCAGGTCTACACAGCCCTACCTCTCCGCCTGTAGAAATGTTGTTTTCTGTCCCCATGACCTGCTAGTTGTGAGAAATTCCCAGGCCACGTTTTCATTCCTATAACCTGTAAGGTGTGTGTCGGCGGATGGTATCACGCCCTCTACCTTGAAAATATATGATTCCACCTCAAAAGAACCAAATCTAATGTGTTGTAGTGTCAACTGGTGGCACAGTTCAATAATTTTTTCCGACTAATTTTTTGATCAGAAAATCTGCCATGGCCCTGAATTTGGGTCCAACAGAAGTAATTTTTTTCCAACAATTCAGGTAAGTAACCAAAGTCATTGATCATCCAGTCCAATACCAACGTACCGAATCTAGCAAATTGTTTAAAACCTCTATGTTGTGCAAGAAAGCTCATATGTTATCCCTCAACCCAACTCAATAAACCCTTCTCGACTAAATTTTTTTTTTCAAAAAACCCCCTCCAATATCCAAGGGAGTAACATAGTGGAGGGAGTTGATGGAAAATATTTTTGAGACGAAAATGTTATATAGGGCAAATTGCATAAATAAATAAAAAAGAAAAAAGTTGTTCTGTAATCTGATTATAAAAGGTAATATGATTACCCTGAAAGAAAGAATCAAATTTTTTTTATGGTTGGTATGAACAATAATTTCTTTTTTTAAGAAAAAAGAAAAAATAAATGACCTGATGCAACGGGTGCAACGGGCTGGTATCTATAAGGATGCATCTGTAAGTGTTATTCATGAGACATAGTAATTTCTTTCATGAATATATATATTTTTGGTTAATCTAACAGTGAATTAAATATATCTATATTTTGTTTGATGGGTGGAGCTTCATCATCGGTAACAAAGGAGAATGCCCAGTGGGTGTTCTCTAGCTGTTATTATGATTTGAAATTAATAATATATTAAGTGAAACTATGAATGAAGACAGCCGCTGGTGGACAACGTTTGGATTTTTGCCGGGTGTTTTATGTGTTACCGTATTATGATCAATTTGAGACTCTGTTTAAGTTACAGTGAAATAAGGACAGTACCCATTTTGGTTGATTGATTTTGTTACTTCACATGGATACTGTCATTATAAAAAAATTATTTTTTATTACCTTTGATTTTGAGAACCATTATAATATTGGAGAATGAATTTGTCCATTGTATCAAAGGGGCAGCCATCTTTTTCAATAACACCCACTGGGATGTCATATTGTCACTGTTGTATACATTAAATAAATATAAATATATATATATACAAAGATGCAGCGGGGTACTCATGGGATAATAAAACTGGAGAACCAACAAAAATAATAATAAATAATAATAAAAATGGGTGCCTAGTTGACGCACGCAGAGAGAACTCCCAGTGGGAGTTTCTGAGTTTTCATTATGTTCATTACGGGTATTTGGTCAATGACATTCATTGTTTTGGTGTAGAAGAAATTTGAATATTATATTTGTAGATTTATATATTAATTTTGATAAATCACTCACTGTCACTTTTCTTCTCCTTAATATTTAAGGACCTAGAAAGTGATCTTTCCATGTAATTTATATTATTTTCATGAACTGAAATTACGGGTGTCTATGTCATTATTTATGCTTGCAATTAATTTTATTGTTCAATTTTTCATGGATGTATGCACTTCTTAATATATGCATAGAATATTGGAACTTGATTGCAGATTTGCAGATGCAGGTTAATTAATTATCTCTCTTGTGGTCCAATATTAATTTATTATCTAATTGCATGTAATTAATTAATTAGAGGCTGTATTTAAAATACAGGCTAGCCTAATAAAGGTTGGTTTTTCGTAGTTGAATAGGATTTATTTAGACAAAATTTTGTACCATATTTTTAAAATTTGGGGTTGTAGTTTTTGAAGAGTTCAATAAAAGATTCATGAAACTTTAAAAGCACGAGATGATCATGAGATGATTTATAACATGGCATGAGAGGGGATTAGCCCTATTTATGGTGCCTTGCTTAATGAAGCTCGGCCAACCATTTCGGCAGGCCTATTAGGTCTGAGAATCATTTTTCGAAACAAATGGCAACCAAACCAAATCAGCACAATCACTAATAAAAAACACACCATCAGCATTATTCAAAGACAATTCAAACCATCAAGCATCCTTTAACTTCTTATTGATCAAAACTCAAAAGTAAGCTTTTTCACAATGACTGCACCAGATCATATCATATCAAAACCAAACTGGCAGCACATACTATCAAAAAGGAGCCAAACCAAACAGCACAATCAGTAGTAACAACAACAACACAACACCAGCATTATTCAGAGACAGTTCAGGCTATCAAACACATACCTATATTTCACATAGACACGCACTAAGTTTCCTTCTCAATAGCAGCATTGGCAGCATCAATGTCCTCATCCATTAGAAGGTCCCAATGCCCATCCCACTTGATGAAAAACTCAGTGTCCTCGTAGTACTTCACCCGGTGCACATCTCCGGCCGGCGTAAACAAGAAATCACCGACACCCAGATCGAATTTCTCGCCTTTGCTCAAGTTCCACACACTCTTGCTCCCCTTCAACACCACCAAGTCATGTCCAAATGTATGATGATGCGCCGGCTCGACACTGCCAGCCTTAAACCTCACGATCGCAGACGTCGGAGTCTCTCTCAGTATCTTCATCGACCCGCCGGGCATCGCCTCAACCGGAGTGAACTCTCTTGTCTTAGCCAAACAGCAAATCGAGCACGAATTATCGGAATTGGAGATTTTGGGTCCGATATTCGACATTTCGGGGATCGAACTGTCGAGGAAGGAGTCGATTTCGGTTGGCCAGGGTTTGGAATCTGAGGCTGGACAAGGGGATTTGAAGGGGGTGTTGAGCCAGGTTTCGAGGATTTCGATGGCGGATTCGGGGGAGGTTGACATGCCGGAGACGGCGAGCACGTTGCAGTTGTTGATGGAGCGGGTGTTCTGGGCATCGCCGGCGGTGAGGCAGGTGGCGGCGTAGACTCCGGGGAATTTGTTGGCGAAGATGGAGACGCCGACGCCGGTGCCGCAGGCGACGAGGCCGCGGGTTTCGGTGGTGGTGGTAGAGGCGGCGGAGCTGACGCGGCGGCCTATTTCTTCGCCGACGGAGTAGTACTTGTCGGTGCCGAGGTCTTCGACCTCGATGTTGAGGGACCGGAGGTGGGCGACGAGGGCGTCCTTGACGGCGCAGCCGAAGGAGTCGGCGCCGGTGATGATTTTGAGGCGGCGGGTGCTATCTTGCGCCATGGAGTGACGGTGGCGAGCGGCGGTGCAAGGGTGGAGTTTGGAAGTGAGTGTAAAATGGAGGTGTCTGTGTGCAAACTATATCAAACTCTCAGTTGAGCATGAAGCGCGTCTAATCTGCAATTCTGCACTTTATTTGGTTTGGGTTAATTCTACTCGCAACCCCTGAGGTTTGCTCTATTGAGAGTCATATGAAAGTTGGTCACTTTTTGAACACTCACACCCCTGTAATAAATTGCAGCCAAACAATTCCTAAAAAAGTAAAAAAGACGTTATTACCCTTTAATAAAATAATAATCCTTGATTAAAAATATGAGACTATTTAAATAACTCAAATACCCCTCTTCCTTCACACTGGTATTTTGTAATTTACAGACACACGCATAAATATAATACGCTGGATACAGACACACATAAATATAAATATAATACGCTGGATCCCTACAACCTCCGCCGGCATTTTCTGGGTTTGGTCCTCTTCGGCTCCGGCGTGTTGGCATTCGTACCTCGCCAGCTATCGCTTTTCACCTTTCCTGCCACCACATCTCCACCCATTTGAACCCACAACAATCCCAATCAAACCCATGACGATCTCAAATCATAGCCACCACTCTCCCTCTTTAAATTGAAAATGAGAAGCAAATCAGAGCTGCAAGTATCATTTTGGTCTTGCATACTGTGTTTGTCATCAGAATCTGACCAGCTCGATCGGAATCCACCGGGAGCGTACTGCTGCTGGACTTGTATTTATATATTTTTTTGAGCTTTTCTCACCTACAGGTCTCCTAACAACAAATTGAGGCTTGGCACCAAGACCATTCACTAGAGAACAAGAATTGAAGACGAGGTGACCCTACATGGTTTTGTACCAATTTTGTTTTGGTTTTGACAATAACCCATAGTTTTATCAAATACCCACCTCCAATATAGTTTATGTATATATTATTATATTTTTAATATAACAAATTTGGATTGGTGTTGTGTGAATCAAATATCACACGAAAAAAAAAAAAATCAAATATCACATTGCAAGTGGTATTGTCCCACTTTTCTATTTTCATATTACATTATATTATACCGAATTTAATAATACTAGTACTAACCTCCATCCACATGAACCACCACATCCATACATGTATGTGTGTGTGTGTGTGTGTATTACAGTTATATATAATTAATTATATATATATATATATATATATATATATATATATATATTTGGCATGAAAGGGTAGTTTAGTTAAATAAATTGAGTTGTAAAGGTTAAAAAGGTAATTTTATAGTCCAAATAGGTCAACTATCAAGTCAAAGGATAATGATGTCAATTCCTCATGTGCAGAAGATCATAGGGGTGTCTTTGTTAACTTTATGAAACTTGAGGGGTGGTTATTGTTAAAAAATAGGTCAACTTTTTTTTGGTTGTCAATAAGGCAAACCTCAGGGGGTGTGAGTGTAATTAACCCATTTGGTTTTTATTAGTGTGGGATTCCACATTTGTGGTCCCACATAATATTCTAGGCTCAATTCTCTATTTGTGCAGAATCAAAAATGGTATATTACCCTAGAAATGGTGGGTCAAGTAATATTTCTCTAGAAATGGTGGGTATTTTTAATATTTAAAATAAATTTCTGGCGTGTGAGTAGTGTGCGTGGACAAATTTTAAAAAGAAATAAATAAATAATTGTAGAGTATAAAAGAATGGTGCACAAGAAGAGAAATAATATTTTTTTTAAATGTGTAGAGCCATATTACTACGATCGCAGTTGAGCTTTTTCTTTTTTTGGCAGGAGGGGAAGGGGTAGATGAAAAGGCTCGAACTTGGCTCCCAAGCATCAATGAAAAGATGTCCTACCACTAGGTTATCAAAGCTGTGATGACCTTGTGGGAGGGTGTGTTGTGAGCGGGTGCGAGAGATACTGACAGGCTACCACACTGGCGAGTTATGGGTGCACAGCCCAACATCGCCTGGGTAGAGGAAAGGTGAAGTGCTTATATGTAAGTATGTCATCTCCAATTGGTATGAGGCCTTTTGGGGTGAAGCTCAAGAGCAAAACCGTGCAGGCTCAGGTCCAAAGCGGACAATATCATACCATGTGGTGGAGTGGGTCGTTACAAATGGTATCAGAGCCCTAGGTTAAGAATTGTCTGGCTAAGAGAAGTGACAGTAACAATAAGAACATATACTTATACGAATTATTTGCTCTCTTACCATGCTCCAGTTTAAAGTATAAATTACTTGTAAGACTTATCATTGACATTATTTACTGAAAATAGGATGTCAGAAGCTGGAAGAGACAGAGGACGACCTGCTAGAGGCAGAGGTCAGGGAGGTACTGGTCGTGGTGGTGTTGACCACGACAATGTTTAGTTGGAGGATGCACCTCATGTGCCGAATCCTATGATTAGATTTATCAGAGATATACGCAAATTGGGGGCTGTTGAATTTGTTAGAGCTATCGATCCACTTGATGCTGAGAAGTGGATTGAAGATATAGAAAAGTATTTTGAGATGATGGACTGCACTGAGATGCAGAAAAGAAAGATTAGTGCATTTCTTTTATCTGGTGAGGCGCGCCAATGGTGGCAATCAGAGACTAGGATGGTTGTGGCCATTACAGCTATGACCTAGGATGATTTTAAAACTCGGTTCAACGACAAATACTTTCCACTATCAGTGAAGGAGAAGAAGGCAACTGAGTTCATGCAGCTATAACAGAATAATGATATGTCAGTCAATGAGTACGAGAGAAAGTTTACAGAGCTATCCCGATTCCTTCCTCACATTGTTACGAATGAAGTACACAAGGTCAGAAAGTTTGAGCGAGGGTTGATCTCTCATGTGAAGAAGTTTGTGGTGGGTCATTGTTATGACACTTTTGCTAAAGTGGTGGAATGTGCCATGGCAGTAGAGGAGAATAATAACATTGCCTTTCAGAAACAGAAGGAGCATAAGGCAGAACAGAAAAGTAAGGGGGCTAGTAGCTCTCAACAGAATCAAAGCAGCTCTCAACAGAATCAGAAGGGTCAATAGCAGCAGACTCATAGAAACTGTGATACCCCTCGGATCCGAGACACGAGTTGATCAGGCCCAGGCCCGAGCCCGAGGGAATATCAAACAATTAAAGTATTTATAATGAACACGGAATACAAAATGAATTAAGAAATGAAATTAAAGCTGAAAGGAACTAAAAACAGAATCCGCAAAATATTATAATTATTAAAATCCACCAAACTCAAACTCCAAAACTCCATCAGTTTACAACTCGGGAATCCATCCATTGAACCCTTATTTAAATTCTCCAAACGATACTGAAATAATAAAAACAAAATCCAAAGCTAACATAGAGAAAATTCCTATATAATCGGAGGAGTGAATAGTTGTATCTGCTCTGCACGTCCAAACTCTAACCCTGGAACTGACGAGCCCCTGAAAAATAAAGAAGTGGGTCAAGCCCACATGCAAGTCCTGATCTACTACAATCTAAACAGTAATCCGATACGCAGATACATCCTAGGAAGACTCAACAATATCTAGAGTAGTCAATATATGTATATAGTACACACTATAGGACGCTCGCTAGTCCAGTAGGTTTGTCTCAGCCTGAATAGAAGGCAACATGCGAATACGCACCCTAGGGTGGGCATGAGTACCTAGACCTACCAGGGAACAACACCTATGTCCAGTTATCCATCCTAGGCGATATACGCGCCCTAACCATGGTCATGAGACTCAAGCTCATACCACGACACCATATAATATATATATAAAGTCCGTACTCCTCCTAATACAAAATACCATCCATCTGTGTAGTGGTCTGATATATGTATAAGAAATCCATCCTGAAACCATAGAAGGTCATTCAATTCTCAATTGATATGACACAAGTAGGTGATGGACTTAACCTTTATGATTAATCCATACCTCAATCCAAATTTAGGTAGGGTTTAGTGTCTGAACTAATTCGTACCTAGTATGACACCGTCCCACACCGTTGCATACCATCCTCCAGTTTACGTAGTTAATAACACAGTATAATTATTTATTAACCACATCCCAGAATAAGCATAAATATAGTTTAGCATGTATACAACCAATTTATGCATCCAATATAACATTTAGACATCTCATTACAGTTCTTTATATAAATGAAAAGACTGTACATTTAGCTCCTCCAGTTAACATAGTTGACGAAAACAGTATTTGATACTAATCAACCATACTCCAAAATTTGCATAAATACAGTTTAACATGTGTATAACCAACTTATGCATTCAATATAACATTTAGAATCCCAATTACAGTCCGTTAAATTGATAGAGTAGAATTACACAATCTACCTCTCCAAACAGTACCATAACTGATGCAATGTAAAATAGATTTTAACACCAGTTGATCCCAACTAAGCATACATTTAACTATACAACAGTATACTTATAACACAGCTGCAAAACATGATTTATAAATCCAAGTCATGCAGAGAAATAAAATTCCAAAAATAGTAGACAATAGGAATTAATTTTCAAATCATCCACCCACGGGTTCACTGTTTAATCTTAGCTTAATTCCGTTCTTAGTTCCTATTTGTAATCATACTTCCCAACATTTTTACAAGTCTTAAACATTAAATTACAACATCCAGTAGCCTTTAAATAATTTTAGAAAATCCAATTTCAGCCAAAAAGTCCCTAAAACTCAGTTCTGTGCGTTTTAAGATGGAACAGGCTCTAAAATTTGGAGCCTGCTCTATTTTTCTTTTGGAGCCGGCTCTAAACCACTTAGAGCAGGCTCAAAGACACTTGGAGCCGCCTCCAAATAAGTTTGGAGCCGGCTCTAAGATATTTGAGAGCCTGCTCACTTTTCCCCTAGCCGTCGTTGCCCGTTCCAGCTTCGTCTTCTCCAATTCCGGTGATTACCAGAGCCTCTGTAACATGTTTTAATTCTCATTCTAGGTTCAATCTCAGTCCTAGGTACATATTAAACCACTGATATTCAATGATAGCATACATAAAACATAGGTTTAGAAGCAACGATTACAAAACCTTAGTCTGAAACTTTAAGCAACCCACAACAGATTTATTTGGTGATCTTCATTACTGTTTTAAGAACTTATTCTAGG